GCTGTCCTTATTTGGTAGTATGAGAGACTGTCGGTGTCGAGATCTCGATTGAGAAGCTTCAACAAATATAGAATTTGGAGCTTGTTGTTTTTGGAGGAAAATGGCTCCTGAGTCATGGATTCTATAAAGGTTATCAATCTGCTTAGACACGGTATGGGAGCAAGCTGGTTTTTTCCAGGATCTCTGCGCAGTACTAAGGAGAGATAGTAACATCAATATGTGCACCAGAGTAGTTGTATTTTAGAGATTGGATCATATAGATGATTGGCTGGTTCTGTCTATGGTCGGTGGACTTGCAGATCAAGGGATTTAGCCATGCGAATCATACGTTGGGTATAGATCTGGAAATCCTCTGCTGGTGACGGCGGGTTGGTATCAACAGTGTCTGACTCAGGAGAGGTAAGTAACACCAATGAAGTCTGCAGCCGAGATCTATGGTCAGATCCATTGAGGTCATGTCTGGAGTCGATGGACTGTCAATCGACTTCGGTGTCGAGAGGCTGAGTATTGTAGTATTGCTGGTTATGAGTCGGAAACGATGGAGGCGGCATGTCCATGGACATCTGTTGATGTCAAGGATCGTCGACATCTAAAGATAGTGGTTGAGCATCGATGGACCTCGATTGGTAGGGATGGACCTTGGTGTCGAGCTAGGTGTCGTAACAGTGCAGAGGTTGATGACTTGGATTTACTGGAGGATGGGAACTGTGCTGATGTAACAGAATGGAGCGAGTGTCCATGGACCAGGATGAATATCGAGGATCATCTATATCAGAGCCTGTGTCTCTGTGATGTCGAAACGGAAGTTGCTGATGTGACAGCATAGCAATAGAATAAATTGACACTGGCAATGCTGAGCATGAAGAGTGATTTCCGTCATCTATTGTATTAGGAAAGTATTGAGAGGCTGGGGCTGCAAAAGCCCCATGTGTGGATGAAATCTGCTCAACCATTCAAATTTTTTTCAATACCAAATGGGAAGCAGGTTGAGGTATAGTCACCTCTCGGTGATGTGGCCACTTTGACACCGATGGTTGTCGAGAGGTAGACCGACTATTAGATGGTATTATTGAACCGGGTAAAACATCTGGTTGAGTAGCTGGTGCAGTTTGTCGAGCAGAGCACTGGTTGGGGCAAATGGCAACCCGATGCACGTGCTGGGTGTAGGTTTGAACCACACATGATGAAGCAAGCTGTTGAGATTGTTGATGTCGACTTTCCTGGTTAGAGATTGTGGGTGATCCGAGGGCATCAAATATGGATTGGTGTTGAGCTGTTCGGGATGGGAATCCTCAGACGATGGAATAACCAAAGGATTGCTGGAAGAAATGGAAGGTTGCGGACTGGGAGGAGAGGACATTAGTTGGCCGACTCTATCATCCCGTTCTGGAGACTGAGAACAAGGTTGATGAGATGGAAGTCTGTCATCATCTGAGAGAAATCCGACCGAAATTGACTCAGAGAGTTGGAAGCCTGTAGGCTTAGACTGCTCAGCTCATTTAGGAGGGACAGGTTCAACCGCTGGAGCAGCTTCATTTGGTCTCTGATGTTTAGAGGTTGTTTTCAAAGTCGAGGACTTAAGTATGGAGGGTTTCGATTTGTGCGTCTTCGAGGTCTTAGACGATGCAGATGGAGAATCGGAATGAGCTGGTGTAGCCGAGGGATGTTGTTTTGATGATTCAGTAACGGCTTTTTCCATTGCTTTGGTTTGGGAAGTGGCCCTACAGGGAGGTTGGGCCATTTGAACTGGTTGTAAGGATTGTTCCCAAAGTCAGAGTTTTAGCCTGCACTTAAAATTTTTGCAATGGGTACAGGAGGAAGTTTGATGTTGTTCTCCCAAACAGAAAAGGCACTTAGCATGTCTGTTGGAAATTGGTATTGTATTATCACAGACAACACAGTGCTTTAACGGTCCCAAAGGGGCCATGAATAGGAGAAAATAATTTGAGGAGAAAAACTGATGATTTAAGAAAGGGAAGGGGATGCTGCAGCCGGAGGCGAGGGGAAAAGAAAAATCTCTGATGATAAAGGGTTTGATCTAATAGTTTAAAAGACAGATAACAGGAAGGAATCAAGAATAGGCTCCCTTTCTCTTTTACTCACAGAAGCAGAATTATGAGGCTCTCAATGTGGCGGTTGAAAGAAATTGAAAGGGGACGCTTGGCGCCAAGGTACTTATATGGGTGGGGAGGGGCATATTCTAATGTGTTTATTGCTACCACAAAAGCTCTAGACTCTTCCGATGAGGCTCCACACAGGGTGTGATTCTTAGAGGCCTCGAAGAAGAACTGCTATCTCCTCACAGCTTCATAACCTGGAGGGTCTAGTCCATCTTTTTATTTGGGGGTTTATGACTGAGATCCTGCCATAGATTTACGGTGTAAATGTAATGCTGTAAAATTGCATGCGTTGCCACTAGTCACATGACAATTCATTAAGAAGCTGCAATACACCACCACCATTTATGCCATCATACCTATGACTCTGGTGCAAATCTACAACAAGGTTTTGACTTTGTCTTCTAATTTACAAACATGTATATTTATAGCATAGTTAATAAATCACCCAAGTCCAGAGAAAGTGCTACCTTATTGTTGGGGAAGAGAGCAGCATTGTGCTTACAAACTGACAGGTATCTGATATACACAGGGATACTTTGCTTCACCTTCAATGAAGCTGATCTATTACATCAAGAAAAACGCTGGACCTTAACTCTGAATGAACTTTTACAATCATATAATTAGTATGACAATAAGCACAGACTCAGCATCTGGCTTGTTCAGTTTGCTACACTACAGGCAACATTTCTTACTAATGGCATAAATCCACTGATCTTCTTTAATGAATGGAACTGGTGGGAAAGAGGCACCCCAGGTTGCAGCCCTCCATAACCCTCAAAACCTGCTCCACAGGGCTTAGAAAGTTTCCAGTGCTGCTTTCTTAGGCAGTGCTAATGGGCGAGCAAAGGGGAAGACAGTTTTGTTGTGCTGATGGTCGAGTTCCAGCATTGTGTTGATCTTAGGCCATTGATACAACTCAGGATAGCTTCTGGTACAGAGGTCAGGGCCTGTCAAGGCAGGCAACCATTTTAGACTCATTTTGTATGTGTTTATATCAAACATTTCTCAGTGATGCAGCAAATGAGGGAGGGAGGGAGGGAGGGAGGAAAGAAGGAAGGAATTCTGCATTTTCATAACCCACCCATCCAACTGCCTAGAATAGTGGAGAAGATCATCTTCTTGCTGCTGTCCTCCATCTCAGTGAATGAGAGGTAGTTGAAGTGGCGGGTAAGACGTGGGGTGACGGCATTTCTTCCTCCACCAGGTGGACCCATGGCACCAACAAAATTAATATCTACCAACTTCTTAAAAGTACCTGACAAAATATTCCAGGGAAGAAAAAAATAGAACGTGTGAATACAAAGCCTCCCCATAAATAGATGGGGTGGGGAAGTGATATTAGTATTCTAGGTTTATGTTACTTGACAACTAGCCTAGCTGGTTTGGCAAAGAGTTTTCACATACTAAAGTTAAATGTCATACCGATTTGTTTCCTATCGTACCAGCCGTGGTGATCCATCCATTGTCGAAGAAGCTCAATGGGTGGCTGAGCACCATAGGTCTCCAAGGCTGGCATATTCAGGTCATCAATGAAAAAGATGAAGTACCTGCCAAGGGGTGGACCAAAAACTCCCTTGCGCCTGCATATATCCAGATAAGAACAGCAATTACTGAATGAAACACACATAAGCATTCCAGTCATGCTCTTCAGGACAATTCAAAAGCAGGCACTCGAGAGATAGTATATTGAGCTGTGCACCCTAGCCAACATCTACACCTGTCCCACTCATTTCTTAATAAAGCAGCATCACCATACATTATGGGGGATCTGGGGCATATTCACAGCTTCACAGAGCAAATTCTGCCTCTGGAAATACATATGTCTAATAATGTAGTCATCATAAATGAAATGTAATGCAGTGACTCTGCTGCTTGGTTGGTAAACCTGTGTATGATCTAGTAATGTGATTATCAAAACATTTTTGTATTTCAAAGGGATAGTATGCTCTTCAGTGTTTTGAAACTCGGTAGAGTAAAAACCACATGAATGACATGCACAAAATATATCAAATACTGTAAGAACTTTCCACTATGTTGCTTTTCTTGTGTGCCATCAGGTGGCTTCTGACTTATGAAGACCCCATGTATTTACAAGTTCTAGAAGGCCTTTTCATTAACAGTTCTGTTCAGCCCTATTCATATGTAAGGACATGGCTTTCTGGAGTCCAACCGTCTCACATTAATTCTTTTTTTCTTACAGCCTACTGCTTTCCCTAGCAACATTGTCTTTCCCAGTAAGTCTTCTCATGGGATGCTCAAAATACAATAGGCTCAGTTTAGTCATTCAGTGTCTAGTGAAAGTTCAGGCTTGATTTGACCTAGACTCCATCACTTGTCTTTCTGGAAGACAATAGTATCCATAAAGCTCTCTGCCTACATGATGATTTTTCCCCCTGTTACTGTTTACATCCGTACATAATAATCAGGAATACCATCGTATGGATGACCTTGGCCTCAGCCATATTTTTTTCTTCAGAATTACCCTTTCAAATCTCAGGCTTTGGATTCCTTGGACACAACCTTAATTTGGATTGGTGACTGAACTACAGCACACAAAATCTTTTAACTGTGTTGATTTTTAAAAATTGTCAACATGAAAGTGTTCCATCATTATTTCTGTCATGATTGTTGTAATCCTCCTTTTACATTTTTTCTTTAACCTTAATCAGTAGTCATTTCAAGTCACAACTATTTTTGTCACTAATATGGAATCATCTGGATATTGCAAATGATTGTTGTAATCCTCCTTTTACATTTTTCTTCAACCTTAATCAGTAGCCATTTCAAGTCACAACTAATTTTGTCACTAATATGGAAGCATCTGGATATTGCAAATTACTAATGTTTCCATTGCTTTCACTTCATCTGAATCTAATCCAGTTTTTTGTATATGTTTGGTGCATAGGGATAAGAGGATAAAATGCATTCTTATCTGACGCCTTTGCCAATAAAAAGCCATGCTATTTCTCCACCTTCTGTATCATTCAACACTGCACTTTCTTTCTGCATCTGCAAACATCAGCAATTATCTTCTCAGCTTCAATCCAGTCACTTCAACAGCAACAGTGCTATTTGTACATATCTTTTGCTCTTCCCTTGTAGATAACTGAATGATTTTCAAGCTATTTGTACATATCCTTTGCTCTTCCCTTGTAGATGACTGAATGATTTTCAATTGGGAGTCTCAACTTCCAGCACTATCTCTTGTTTTCACTTAGTCTCATCTTTCAGCACTATCTCTTGTTTTGACCTGGACTTATCTCATCATAGGGTTTTAAAGGTACAAATATTCTGAAGCAACTTAGCATTGCTGCTCTCCGCACAATAGCTCCCCTTTGAGTAACCCTGCTAGGAATCTAAGGCTTACAATGGAATATAGCCATCCCACATAATAATGTTGCTGTCAGTTTCCTTTTATTTCCCTCGAAATGGGGAGATAAACAATGACAACCAGAGGCAGATGCGAGAAAATCCTGTGAAATGAGTAGTGATTCTTCTGACTATTTGAGCATCCCTGTTCCCCTTCATGTTAAGGTGTGCATCCAAGAGGAGGTTTTCACTGAAAATTAGTACAGAAAATCAACAATTTTGAACAGTAATCACAGTGAGCCACCTTGGATCCCCTCAGTAGGAGAAAGGCTATCCAGAAATAAAACAATCAATCAGTAAAATAAATAGTAATCAATACCGCCTCAGAGCTCAATGGAACAAGACTACTAAGCTCCAAAAAGAGATCAATGAATGGCATGGTTTTTCCATACATATTTAAGCTCTGGATTAACTAATCAGTACATACAAACTATTTAGTGGCTCAGAAACAGCTAGGAATTCCAAGATGAGGGCATTCATCAAACACTTATCAAATGCCCATTAACCCTATGGTAGTCCTACAAGGGAGGGCTGATTAGACAGATATTTCTCTTATTGGTCATATGATCAGTAAAGAATTCCAGTAGTTCCTTTTGATCCTTGTTCCACAATATTTCTGTTTTTATGCTTATTGTCTTAAGCAAATTTTAGGCTTTAAAAATGGTTGACAAGTACTAAAAAAAACCCTCTAAACACAATGCTACACCAAGAACAGAAGTAATGGAAGAGAGAGAGTTTTGCCTTTTATCCAGTTTGCTGTCAATGAGATCTTGGGTTTGGTTGGCTGAGGTTCGAGCAGAAAACATCAGGAAGTGGCTGATATATTCTAGTGGTAGGTTCTTCAGAAGCTTGTCTGCAATGGTGAGTGTCTTCCCAGTCCCTGTGGGGCCAACACAAAGGACCTATATTTTGGGGGGGAAAAAGACCTCTCATCACCGGCAAAATTTACAGATTATCAATACACACTCCCATTTATCACCTGACTGGGCCATCCTGACTCTACTGAGCTTCCAAGCAGTCTTCAAAATCACTTTGTTAACTGGTAAAACTAACCAGATCAGAAAACATCTTTCAGATGAGAAAATAACAAAAACACATAGGTTTTACTTTGGTTATTTGAGCAAATGATCAGCACTTACTTGATTAAGCCACATAATGCTAACACTGCTACAATGCTAGATTAACCCTGTTTGAAATCCGGAAAACGTACTGGTTTGTGGTTGGTGAGCAACATTTCCAGCAGGTGTGCCATCTGGACGGTATTTATGGTGGGAACAATAATGTCGCAAACACTGGTATCAGGCAGCATGGTAAACTCTGTAGAAGAATCCATCCAGTTCACCCAGCAAACCTAAGAGGCAGAGAAATACCGACAAGAGGAGCAGATAAAGGCTTCAGATATCTTGCAATCCTTCAATACAGAACTGGAATGAAAGTTCACATTTGCAAGCAACCAAACGTCACTGCAGTCCTCTGAATAAGGGTCTGATCAGACAAGAGAAATGGCTTGCCCTTTGCACCACTTGTGGCAGAGCCCAGTAACCACGCAATGCACAGGAGACCATGGACCAGCCTGACCCAGATCCATACTCAAGTTGGAACTTTTAGATCTAGTGGCAGGGCTAATATTTTTGAGGGCCAGGCTGGAGTAATTCCTGAAAGGACAGAAGTGTCACTTCAAAGGAGATTGCCCCAGCAAAGCAACCTTTTCCAGAGGGATCAAATGTGATCTTTCCGGATATCTGATTGCATCTGCTTCACTAATGTCAAACCTTCACCAAGTCAAAATTACAGTGGGGTCTTGACTTAAGAACGGCTTGAGTTAAGAACATTTTGACTTAAGAACCACTCTCATAGGAAAATATTGACTTGACTTACATACTTAGATTTGAGTTAAGAACTGAAAAAAACCACGTGGGAGGCAGGGAATGTGCAAAATTTGAACTTTCTGTTAACTTGTTGGCCAGTGAAAAGGGTGCCTGTCTGCTTCCTCACTCCTCCCAACGTTTAGAGAGTGGATTGGGAGTCTTCAGACTGCCTGGTACTGCCTGGACTGTATTTTCCCTGCCTTCCCTGAACCTTTCTTGACCTAAGAAAAAAAGAAACAAGTGGTCGAAGGCAGAATAGCAGCTTCCCATTAGTTTCTATGGACGGAAAAGAGCAGATACGGATCAAATGGTTTTCAATGCATTCCTATGGGAAATGCAGATTTGACCTGAGAACTTTTTGACTTGAGAACCGCCTTCCAATACGGATTAAGTTCTCAAGTCAAGACCCCACTGTAGTCCTAGCGAAGTCTCACTGAAGCTAGAGCTTGGATAAGTTTAGCTTAAATGGATACTTTCCCTAAACCAGGAGTAGGATAACACTAGCCCCTTCCAAAGAGGTTCCCATTTAGGAGTGGCTGAAGAGGCAAACATTTCAAATTATTTTTTTTGGGGGGGAGGGAGAATGAAGATGGGTGCAAAGGCTCCTTAGTGGCACTTCAGAAGCTCTTTTCTCCCTCTGCTTGCCTTATTTCTTTTTATTTCCTAAATGTTATGACAGGATGCATTCTGTGGAGCAATGGCTGTCGAAACTGTGTTTCACCTGTTGCTCACTGCCACCCCAAGAGAAACATAATGAAGAGCGACCTCTACTAGAATAAATATCCACAAGCTTTGGCTCTTTTCAGCCCTAAAACCAATTCTTCAAATTGTTTCACTTCTTCCTCAAATGGAACATACATTCTAATTTCCTACTCCCTGTAAATCAGATGGCAAATATGGGGAGGGACATTTTGGGGCAACTCAAGGAAAATAATAGAACACGTTAGTTGAACGTGTGACTCATTAGTCTCACTGCTTTCAGGATCTGAGCTTTGACTGACTTTATTTGAACTAAAGCTGTGGTTTCTGAAGTAGAATTAGGTTATACATTACCCTGGGCACACCTTTGCTAGCAGAAACAACACAATCACCTGTGTGGCTTTTATGAGCACTTAAGCTGAATTTATTAACTGTGACAAGTTTCAAACCTCTTATTTTTATGTGATTTTTCTTTCTCAGAAGCTCTTCTAAGTATTCAGTCAAGCCATCTGTCTTTATTTTACCACTTCCATTTGTAGAGACCCAGATAAGTATTTTTCTTCAAGCCACTCCAGATAATGTTTTTGGAACACTTATTTGTTGTGCGCCTTATAGCAGCACTTCTGTTGTGGACATGCTGAATTTTCTTGGGAGCTGAAATAGCAATATTTTACCACACACAATTGGTGACATTTTAAGGATTTTATTATGTAATAGTTATATGGCACTTGTCCAAAGTGCTTGGAACATTTCATCTTCGTGATCCTTAAAACAACATTCAAAGGCAGGCCACAATTACTTATCCATATATTTTTGTTTTATGGGAAAGGGCTGAGAAATAATGGTTTCTTTAAAATTACCCAGTAAGTTTGTGGTGGAGCTGAGATTTAAAAGGCAAGCTATTGAGAAAGAAGGTGATGGAAAGGCTCTTTCCAATACAGATTGAAACTGAGATTTCCAGTTTATAAATTCTCACTTTAAACCACCTTATCAATTTATCTAGCCCTTTAACAACATGGTAAATATGAACATGGCTGCACTCTTCCTCTCACAGCAATGCTCTGAATATAATAAATCTTTTGCACAAATAATTATTTACAATTTTGAAGTCCAATGTCCCTACATGCACATTTTCCTCATTTTAAATTAAACTGATGAATCTGTTATGGCCATTCGCTACAGCTATAGTATCCACACAGTCCATTTTATATGGCTGTCACAGCACTAGCAATGGATTTAAACTATTGCAACCAGAATGGTAAGGGAGAATCTGGTGTATTTTCTTCATAAACTGAGGGACTAAGCCAGATATTAGCCATATGTAGAATACACTCACTGAAATCAAGGGACCTTTTTTCAACTAATAAATTCTACTCATTTCAATTAGTCTACTCTAGTTAGGATTATGACTGAATTAAGCCCTCATTCCCATGTCAGTTACTTCAGTTCTTTCAAAAATTCAAAGACTGTACTTTATGCATATTGGGTGACTAATAACATCATCACGTCCCATTCTGAGCTTTCAGAGGTAGTTCTGTACAAATTTGCTGTAGGAAAAATAACAGAACGTACAGTGGCAGCTAAAAACTTCATAACTAGAGTCTGCTCTGTTTCCTCAGATTAGTCTGTGAAATTCTTTATTAAAATGAATTTGTTAACCTAGCCTTTCAGGAAACAATAGAAGACTCTGATGCTGTGGTTTCATAAAATCACCTTTTTTCTCCAGGAAATAAATATTTTCTATGATAAATTGTTCTCAGGTGGAAACTGAAATCTGCAGTTTGCTGAAAACTCTGTTCAACTTCACAGCATGAAAAAGCTTTCTCTCAAAAATATTTACTGTTTCAATTAATTCAGATCCTATGTAGGCAAATACAGACACACATAGGAATATACGGTAGTTTTAAAATGTATCCCCCCAAAGTCAGTTTTAATATATGTCCATCTTAGGGTCACTTAAATCACTGAACATAGCTATTAAGGAAAATTTTCTATAGTTTTGCATAAGCAATATTATACTCCTGCGCAATGTACAGAAATATCTGGATGCCACAATTTACCCTCCTGATACTGTAAAGCTGACAGTCCAGATTTTATGTGCTGGTTGTGTACTTCTTGGAGTGCAAGTTTCAAAGAAGATGCACCTATTGGCTTAGATGGCTCTTTTATATGATTTAATGACATTCAGAATTACACAACTAACAGACTGCTGCTTAGCATGCTACTGGCTGATTGCATAGCTGAAGAACTGCCTTCAGAAAGCATAGAAGGCTACGATTGTGAGTGATGTTATAATAACAATTCATAACCACTTGGATGTACTCTTCCAAGTCAAACATTTCCGTACTGGAAAAATGGATCTTGTACAAGATATATATATAAGGATTGACATGTTATAATAATTTGCCTTAAGTAAAGGACTGACTAGGAGAGACAGGCATTGTTCTGTATTTTTTTTAAAAAAAAGAATGAAGTCTCCTCTCATTTTCTATAGACTATTAGTAAGAGGTGATAATTATAACATGTCAATATAATACGAGTATAATAATCGTATACAGTTCAACATCAGCGTAAAAGAACCTGCCAAATCTTTATAGAGGATATAGAAAGAGAGGCTGTAAAGGGTGAATTCTGCATTCAGCATACTCTTATATTCAAAAAAAGTATACCCCTGTTCCCGAGACCTAAATAAAAACTGTGAATTAGTTGGACACTGAATGAATAGAGATAAGATATACTCATTGACTGGAAGAAATATTAATCAATTTTTATTTAGATCTAGATCCAAAAGGAGAAAAAGTAATATGATTACTCTCAACCTGTCTATGACATGGCCAATACTTTAATCTATATAAAATCCTGTAGAAATCTATTTTTCCAGTAATCTATGTAGTCCAATCTTTCAGAAATGACTGAATTGCGCAGAGTATGCCCAAGTTGGTAGGAACTATTGCTATAATTTTGTTCACAATCATAACATATCAAACTTTTTGAAGCCCCTTCTTCAGATATGCAATCAGCATTTTTGCAACTAGTAGCATATTAATCAGTGTTCTGAGTGGAGGACATATCCCTCCCGCCTTGTCTTTTTCTTTAGCAAAGCAGGAATCCAAGTTTAGAGCAAATACAATAGGGCAATTAACACGGCCCCTCCTGCATTGCAAGAATGAAGCAGGGGGACTGCCATTTAGGGCCATCCCCACTTCATGGTATGCTCAGCAGCCACGTGTCAGGGAGACGTGAAAGGACCCTATGCATGCACCAATGCATGTATACAAAGGACCACAAGAAGGGCTAACTAGACTGAGTCGGAAGCCTCTCCTTCTCATGGAGAAGCTCCAAGCATGCAGATAAAGAGTTCATTCACATGCTAGTTGAACATGTGAACAGCATGGCTGCAAGGTGTGTTGGTAGGTAGAACTAGTCTGTGTCACTAGCTCAATTAATGCCAATTTCATGTACCATCTTAACCACATCTTCATCTTCATCTTCCTCCACACTGCTAATTCCAGCATCATCCAGTTTATAGTCATAGACCAACCCTTCTTCTGGGAAAAGTAATTCAACCTATGGAGAAGAAAGCAAATATCAAACACCAAATTACCATTGGTTCTGAAGAAGCTAATATGGGCATCGCAGTGTAAAGATATTCTGAATAGATAGAGATGGGCATGAACCATGTTTTGATGCAGTTTAGCTGCATAGCTGTTCTGCAGGCACCCTGGCCTCCCTTGCCCTGCCTCCTCTGGTGGATGTCCACTCAGAGGCAGTGGTGGGGCTTTCCTTGCCCTGCCTCTTCCAGGCACTGCCTCTGAGTGGATGCCGGAAGAGGCAGAGCAAGGGAAGTCAGAGTGCTCACAGAACAGCTGTACAGCCGAACCACACCAAACCATGGTTTCTGCCTCTCTCTGTGTGTGTAGGTAATAGAATGAATAATAACAGACAATGATGGTGTTAGTTAGGCGAGGCCAAGCCAGCAGCCACACTGCTGGGGGATGAGAGGATTGTTTTGCTGACAAGGGTGTCTGAACTGTGCAAAGTGACTAGCCAATGGACACAGTGCTTCACCAAGAGAAAAAGAAAAATTTGTACACAAGTGTTTGAACTAATAAGTCATCAGAAGAGGAACTAATAAACAACAACAGGAATCAGAGGAAAATAGCTGTAGAAGAAATGCTCTGGTAATGATGAGAACCCCAAAGCTGCAAATATTGATAAAAGGAGGGCTGCAACCCTTATTAGAAGAGACACCCACAGAAACATCAAGACATGCCCATATTCCCCAGGTCTCTTTGTTGGCCTGGCCCGCCAGCTGTATGTTTGTCTGTGCATGTGTGTCTGTTTGAATGGAGGCATTAATATGATCATACTTAAAATTAAACAAGATAGCATTAGGAATCCAGTGGCATTCATTCTCTGATGTACCATCCCATAAGTAGCTGTAAAGAACCTTAAGGAATTTATAACAAATATAACTTCAGCGTGATTTAATCCAGTTTTTAAGCTAAAATCACTTGTATTTTCACCTATCGCACAAACAAATTCTCCAAAGATAAGTAATATAATTATTTGTCTTAATAACATTGAAATCTCACATCTACTGGGAATGTAGGAGCCCCATAGCTGCCATTAGGAACATAAGACATCACATTTCTATCAACTTGCCTTCTCCTCATCCATCTTTATTCTTAACCATTTGTTGAAGTACATACGGCTTTGAGCGTCCCCAGTCGCACCAATACTCCATATCAAAGCGAATATGAACCATGGCTCAATCAGTTCCCCAATACGAGCTGTCTTCTCTGGTGGGATTTTTTTCATTCCCTGGTAAAAACTTATTATTAGAACCTCCCAGATGATTAATGATGAAGTGAAACAAGAGATCATCTGATGAATCTCTCTAACTTCCCCATTTACATTTGGAATCCCTTTCTTCCAACAAATAGTTCTACAACCTGTAGGAGATATTATTTACACTCAGCACCCAATGGGTGTAGACTCATGTCAAGTCTCTGATTAACAGATTGAGAGTGTGTGGTTACAGTGCTGGATTAGGAATATGATAATATATGGAAACAGTTTGCATTTTGGACCACTTGTAGCCTTGTGCAATCTATTTCCTGGTGATTTCATGACGTACACTGAATTGAGCTGTAGCCTGACCCAGATTTGTGTCCAAGCTGGACCTTTTCTTGTCCAGCTGTTCAGCTGTTACTTTTGGGAGTGGGACTTGCTACCTCAGTACATCTTTCTTTTGTCAAAATGTTATCTCTAACTCTTGTAATTACTTTTCACCTAGAGGCTTAGGTTCCTGATGTACTTAGAAAATATTGCAACATCTAAAGCTATCCTTCAAAATGTTGAATTCTAGTGTACTTCTGAAATCTCTTAGGAGTTGCCAACACAACACTGTTGCATTTTTTCAGTATTATACATGCTTTTGTTAGGCCCATTTACTCATTCAATCTTATCCTTCTGTGACAGTGGTTCCCAACTTTGGGTCCCCAGATATCCTTGGACTAAAACTCCCAGAAATCTTCACCAATAGTTGTGCTAATCAGGATTCTTGGGAGTTGAAGTCCAAGAATATCTGGGGACTCAAGGTTTGGAACCACTATTCTATGATCTTGAGCCTCAATAGTGCAAAAAAAAAAAAAACAAAAAACAAAACCCTACCTCAACAGGAATGAATGGTTGAAAGAAACAATCTAATAATTTAAGAAGACTTCCAGTTAGGTTAGAATCTGTGGAGGCAATTACTTCCTTTAGTGCAGTCCGGACAAATCTGATGGATTCCTGAAAGGATCAAAGAGATGCAGTGTTAACTATGTAGACATTTATTTCCGAATCTGGTGCTTCACAGCAGCTTACTGTTCTGAAATCATTGCTACTTCAAGGACTACTTCCAATATTTCAATATTCTGCACCTCAGCCAGAGAATGGAAATAAACAAAAACTGAGAAATGTTGATAGTTTAGAAGGGTCAGTGTGTTTTCCTTTTGAAAACTGCCTACTATTGCTATGAAAAAGAAGAACCTGCTACTCAGTAAATTCAGGAGGTTCAGTGAATATTAACATAAGCCTTATACTGCTATTGAGCATATATCAATATTGTTGTTAGGTGTTGTCAAGTCACTTTTGACTTATGGCAAGCCTATCAATGAGCAATCTCCAAAATGTCCTGTCCTCAACAGCCCTGCTCAGCTCTTGTAAACTTAAGCCTGTGGCTTCCTTTTGGGAGCCAATCCATCTCATATTTGGTTTTCTTCTTTTCCTGTTGCCTTCAACCTTTTCCAGAATTATTATCTTTACCCAAAGTAGCAGCCTCAGTTTCAAGGTTGTTAGCTCTTGAGATAGTTCAGGTTTGCTGGAAGAGAAAGGTAACAGGAGGCTTGCAAATGAGCATTCAAGCCAATGTAGTTTTCATAAACACCATTAGAAAATGCTTAAGACTAGCAGCCACTTTAAGCTTCAAATGCTTGCTTGTTTGTTTGAGTTTTACCACTTCTTTCTCCTTAAAGGGACCCAAAGCAACTTAATACCAAAGGTCTGTAACCCCTATGAATATATACATCTGTAGAACTATAAAATTTTTACTCTTCTGTGAGGAAAAGTTCACATCAACGGGGCACAGGGCTCAGTTTACAGCAAACTCTCCCACAGCAGCAGTTTAACTCTTCCTGATACTCCACAGCTGCAGTTTAATTCTTCCTGATACTATACAAGTTGCACTTACAGTGGTGCCTCGCTTTACAACAAATCCGCTTTACGATATTTTTGCAATGGCAAAACAATGGTCTAAATGGGGGAATTTTGCTTTGCGATGATCGGTTCCCTGCTTCGGGAACCGATTCTTCGCAAAACGATATTTTTCTAAGCTGATCGGTGGTTTCAACATGGCCGCCGGGTAATTAAAATGGCTCCCCACTGTGTTTAAGGACGGATTCCTCGCTATACAGGCAGCGAAAATGGCCACCGTATGGAGGATCTTTGCTGGACAGTGAGTTTTGACCCCACTGGAACGCATTGAACGGGTTTCAATGCGTTTCAATGGGGTTTTTTATTTCGCTTCACGATGTTTTCGTTTAACGGCGATTTTCCTGGAACGGATTATCGTCATTAAGCGAGGCACCACTGTAGTTGCTGCCCTAAAACTATGAAAAGCAAACATAACAGGTTCTCAGTTCACCCTTCAGGTGGCTTTGGATCGCAGCACAGGATGCATGTTCGCCTTGACTTGTACTCTGGTCAGTGAAACTGGAGTGACTTACAAATTTTGCACTGAATCAAAACATGAGCAATCCTGTTCTAGTTCACCTCTACGAATCTGCTGAAAAGGGACTCCAGCTTCTGTGTAAACGGCTTTATAACATCTGGAACCTTCTTCAGCCAGCATTCAGTGAAGGGTTGTAGTCCCAAAATACTGGGCTCCAGGTATACCATGCCACACCGGGAAACAGTGGCAGGAGAGGCAACCGCTAAATCCTGCACTTCAAACATCATGGTCATTGCCTAGAAATCAGAGATGGAAAGTGTGATGTTTTAAATGACTTCTCAAAGAGAAAATTGTGTTACTTGAGTTGTTTGTAAAGTAAAGCTCTGGTTCCCTAAAACGTGCCGTCCATAATCTCCAGGGAACTGGGCCAGTACTGAAAAACACACTGATGGCCAGCAGAATCTAGGAGAAACACTACAGCTTTGATTTAAATCACATCGAATCAACCATATTTCACTAAAATTGTTTTCGCTTGCACCAAAATTTCCAGAAAAAAATAGAACAAACTATGCCAGTATCTAGTAGTCCTATCAGCATAGCAACATGGGTCATCTCCGCAAAAGAACCCCCCCCCCTTCAGCCGTGCAATGGCAATGCTTAGGTAAGTGACCTGATCCCATATTACTGTTTTGGTGGGAGTTTCCACACAGCAGAAGACCAACAGGGTAGTGAGCTATCCTTAAAAAGAAAGATGAATCTTCAATTTTATTTTAAGAAACCCTGTGGTACGATTTAGCCTAGTTTTGTAGCTGATTAAAAAAACCCCACCCTTATGTGAACAAAGATTCAAATCAGAAATGTTTAGGCCAAATTATGCTTAAAAGATAGCAATTTATTTTGGGAAAATTTGTAAGAGGAGAGTGCCCCCAATAGAAAGGAGTGAGAACTTCAATGACTGGTATGGTGTTAGAGCAAACAATTCAAATCAGGATACCGTCCTCCACTGAAGGAGACATTTCCATGTAAACAAACATGAGAATGAGTTGAAACTTGCACACACATATATACGTACACATGAATGTATGGTTATGGAGGTGTCAGAAGACAAAGAGAGGGAAAAGAGAAAGGTACCTCAGTGAGTTTAATGATTTCACCAGAGCTAAGGCACAGCTTCTTGTTGTCGTCCAGCACAGTGTTCATATTTTCAATCCAAACAGCATCAACTGGGCCATCAAACATGTACCATTTCTTTTTGTTATCAGTGGCTACAGCTCCCACCCGGATGAGAGCTGGAAGGATCCCATCTGTCCTGTTATGTGGGGGAGAGAGATGTGGAAGTCAATCAAGCAGTGGCACCTACTCATCTAGCGATGTCCCATCTAACTGTCATTGAGGGATCCTTCACATAAATTATCTTTAATAGGTCTGAAAGCTCCAGTAGAAAGATTATCCTTCAAGAATAACATCTCCTATTTGATATCCTGATAGGCGCAAAGGAATACAAACTCATGTGACAACTCTTTGCCAGAAATGGAAAGGCCTCCGTGGCTACTGGATGTAGTCCAACATTTTATCTCTGCCAATAAATTATCTTTGTCATCAATGTGAAACTCTGATAATTATCACTCATTTTTGTTTATCTAGACAGTGAGGACATGCAAGGTCTTTTTAACAAGATCAAAAGAAAATAAACCCTTCCAAAGCCCAGCTGGGGAACAGATGGTTTTACGCCTGTGAACATTTTTTTTATGGATACTGTATTCCCCTCCCTCCTGTGCTGCATGTGGATGTAGTCCTTTGAGCAAACAGCATATTGTAAATAAGCCATTAAACTTAAGGAGAATTTGCTATAAATAAAAAAAAATGTAAATATGCTTTTCACCTCAAGTTTAGGAAGTTCCAAGATAAAACATGGGGAATATTTATTTGGCATAGCTTGTCTTCCACTGTCTTTGTGCTGCTTTTCATGCATTTGTGGACTGATGGGCTGTGTAGCAATGTATATACACTTGGCAGAGCAAAAACTAAATAAAATAAAGCAGTAAAGTCCAGATTTTTTTGGACTACAACTCCCAGAGATCTTGGACAAGACAGCTTGTGGGGAAGACTTCTGGTGTTTTAGTCCAAGAACATCTGAGGACCCAAAGTTGGGAACCACTGCTCTATAGGCTATCAATTTATGGCCATTTCAATTACTTCATTCCTGAAGGGTGACCTGTGAGTGAAGTGATCCACAGAATCTGCCCATATAATCCAGAATGTGGTGAGAGGGTCATAGTTGAAGAAAATGGAGGAAATCTCCAAGAAGGGTTCAACACTCTTCATACAGAAGTACCCAGAATAAAACAGTGGTCCAGGGATTAAACAAATGAGAGAGATTTGCAGACAGGAATTGATATTGGACACGCAATCAGTCCTGAACATCTGTTTCATGATATGTCTGCAAACTCATCACCAAAACCCCAACATTTAAAGCTCAAAAAATGTATTATGCTCTGTCTAAAATGTATTATTCAAAACCAATGGATTTGCCTATGAATTTTGAACTGAGATAGGTAAGCACAGGGCTTAGTTTTGGCTCTATCATCCACATGTCTTTTGGTCTGATCACTAAGACCCAAAACAGGCTTTCTACATTTTTAATTTATACAGGGTTACTAATTTCCAGAAAGAGGATAAGAGCATAAACAAGGAAGGTTTTGTGCTTTACCATTCATGAGTTAACAAGTCAAACTCTCCATACAGCTGGCCCATTGTAATAGATTTAGGATTCAGTATATAGTAATTGACAGCTTCATAGTTTCCACCACTGACTGAAGGCCGACCTTTCAAAGATGTCATTGCAGCTGCCAAAACTTTGTAACACTGAAATAAAAAAAAGGTGTAAGGGAATAAGGGGAAAGAGTGTAAGAGTGCATCATCACAGCTATTCTAAGACTGAAAACAAAGCCATTCCAAACTCACCATAAATCTACAATAACGAAGAATGGAAAGCAGTAACAAAAGACTTTACCCAAGGGTTTCTTGTTATTAAGAAAAAAGGGCTATAAAACACCAGCACCGATCACACAAATAGAAATGGGAATAGTCTCCATTCTTTCAAAGTGTTGATGAAATATCGGCAAACATCACACTGCAGAAATCCCACTAAAGCCGTGCAAACTCAAAATCATCCATGTCTGCCTTAATGAGGCTCTTCTACAGTTCATGTAAGTTCGGTTTTAAACCTCGTATTCTTACTTCAAAGCTTACCTTTTAAACCTGGTGTTCTTACTTGAAAGCTCTCTTACACAGGCTGCTACTATGGTTTGTGATAAAGGATTTTTCTGTCTCTGAGCAAAAACCTAAAACCAACATATTAGGCACACAGACACTGGAAGTACTCACACCATGGGTATTAGTGCTAAGCGAACTTTCTAGTTATTTTCTTTTCTTCATTGACAAATATCCCAATAGGTCTTCTGCAATCCTTACCTTCGTTTTTCCTGAGCCTGTGGGTCCCACTAGCATGAGTCCGTGCCGTACCACAGTAGTTTCGTACAGCTGGATACACTTCATCACAAAACCTAGAGCAAAAAGATATAGAATGGGGATGCATCATGGTTGCTTTCACTGGCCCACAGGCACATTCAAGAAACAACTGCACTGAAATGGCTCATTAGGCTACTGAAGTCATTGCTAAAGCTTTATGTCCCCCAAATACCACAAGGGACTACATCAGCTTGTTCCTTAGATATTCATAGAAAGATATCCATGCAGCCCATCATGCAATGTTAGTCAAAAATTTTTCTTAGCATCTTTCAGTTGACTCACCGATCCCCACTCATTCAATGGGCCTACTCTAATATAGTGGTGCCTTGCTTGACGAGGATAATTTGTTCCGTTGAAATTGCTGTTAAGTGAAAAGAAAAAAACCATTGAAATGCATTGAAACCGGTTCAATGTGTTCCAATGGGCTAAATACCTCAGCATCCAGCGAAGATCCTTCATGGGATGGCCATTTTCAGTGCCTGTAAAGTGAGGAATCCATCCTAAAACACAGCAGAGAGCCATTTTGCACAGCGGGAGGCCATTTTAGAGCCGCAGATCAGCTGTTTAAAAATAGTTGTCTAGCGAAAAATCGGTTCCCGAAGCAGGGAACCGATCATCAAGCAAAATTTCCCTATCTAAACATCATTTTGCGATTGCAAAAACTTCATCATCAAGCGGTTTCATCGTTTAACAAGGTAATCATTAAGCGAGGCACCACTGTACAATGTATTGCGCTAAACCAGTGGTCTCCAACCTTGGGCCTCCAGATGTTCTTGGACTTCAACTCCCAGAAATCCTGGCCAGCAGAGGTGGTGGTGAAGGCTTCTGGGAGTTGTAGTCCAAGAACATCTGGAGGCCCAAGGTTGGGGACCACTGCGCTAAACAATACATTGTTTGTCAATGTAGCATTTCTTAGAAATACCATTCTTGCTATTTAAGTGATTTCTACTGGACAATTTTTGAGAATTACATCATAGCAGATTATAATATGCCAGCATTATCATCTCTTTATATATTTGCATTACTAGTGGGCTTCTTTTCTCCCAGTGAGAAATTTAAGCCCAGCTTTCTCAACATATATATCAGATAGCAGAGACAGATCATATCTGGGCCTGGATGGGAACTATGTAAGAATTCTATGTAAGTACCTTTGTTCCAAAGAAGAAATATAGGAGATCCAACTGAGTTCAATGGGAATGAGTCTCAAGTAATCGGCTATACATATAGCCTCGCAAAAACTGTCCTCCTTTCTATGAATATCCTTTTAACATCTTATGATGTTGTTGAATCACAAAGTCTCCAAAACATTTCTTCTTAAAAAATTAGATAGGTCAAATCCCTATCTACAGTAAAGTAAGTTGCAACTACATTTGGTCCATTTGAATCAATGGAACTTTCAGAGGAGTTGATTCACTAAATCTCCACGGACTCAATGGGCCTACTCTAGTGCTAAGCAACAGGACTTTGGCCAACATATGGTGAAAAAAATACAGAGAAGCCTGTCTTCCTTTGCCACATACCATCAACATCTTTCAAATTGTCTTTGAGACAGCACTTGTGAATTGCCTCCTCTAAGATGCCATAATCAATAGGCTCTTCTTTGATCATAGGAAACAGATCAGAAATTATACCACTGAAAAGCTTGAGATCATCTTGTAGGAACTTAGGAACATTGACATCCTTAATGGCCCTTAGGCAAATTAGCTCCTGTAAACAATTAAAAACAGAATTATTAGACATTGTATTTCTGAGCACAATTCAAAGTAATGGTTTTAACTTATAAAACCCTAAAAGGCGTTTGTCTTTTACGTCAAAGACCATGTCTCCCTTCATGAGCCTGCTTGGGTTTTAAGACAATCAGGGGAGGCCTTTCTCTTAGTCCCAATAACCTCACAGGTGCACTTGTTGGGGACACAGGAGAGGGCCTTCTTTGTTCCTGCTTCCAGTCTATGGAACTCCCTCCCACAGGGGTCCATCTTTGCTATCCTTCCTCAAGCAGGCAAAGACCTTTCTCTTCAGGCAAGCTTTCCATGAGTGACTAGTGTCTGAATGGAGTTTTTTTAATGGATGGTTGTGCCTTGTCACTTTAAAATGTTTTAGTATTGATTTTATTTACCATTTTAATATAATTTATGTTTAATTCTTTTAAAATATTGTAATTTTTAAAATCTTTTAGTACTGTATTTTTTCTGATATAAACTTCCTTGGGTCTTTTTTGGTTGAATGGCTGGATACATATATTTGAAACCAATAAACAAATACATTTCTTTCTTTTTTGGTTGCCATACACAAGCCTCAATGGCTGAACTGTTACATTTTCAAATTTTGCTTATTCTGCAAAACTACTTAGTAGCTTTCATATTCAATATAACATGACAAACACAATCAATATTATGCTTTTCAATCATACATCATTTTCTTATTTTAGCCATTTTAAACTAAAGTGATAAAAAGTATGTATAGGATGGAGGAAGTCCAACTGAGGTTTTCAAGAGATGATTATCAACACCTATGATGAACTGAAAATGTAGTAAATAAAATTGACCAAATAAGCTTTCTTATAACAAGTAACAAATGAAATGTTCTATACATTACATGAACAATATAACATCATATAAACTTAGCCATCAAAGATGCTTATATTTAAAAATTGTAAGATTCATCTAGGACAGTGGTTCCCAACCTTGGGTAACCTAGGTGTTCTTGGACTACAATTCCCAGAAACCCTAGCCAGCAGAGCTAGTGGGGAAGGCTTCTGGGAGATGCAGTCCAAGAACATCTTACTCAAGGCTGGGAACTACTGAACTGGAAGTACAATTCCACTGAATGAATATATTGATAAATACTGGTTTGGTTTGAGTTACTTGTTCCACTTCATCTATTAATTTAGTCTACTTTACCTGCAGCATGGATCATAAACAGATATGTACAGATCAAAAGAAGCAGGTAATAAAACAGTTTTATATATTTACTGTGTAGAGAATCTTACTGAATTCGATAGGAATTAGTATCTAAGAAGGGTAATAAATTAGCGATGTTATCTTTCTTCTATTTTCTTTTAAATGTAGAGAGAATCTATCTTTTACATGTTCCCATTTTACATTTGAACTTCTCCTTTTTAGCCTTTCTTCGAATAAAATTTCATTTAATTCATTTAAATACTGTAATAAAAAGGACAAAATGGTTAAAATATTGTTTCATAGAAATGTAGTACAGTAAGGAGGAATGGTAGGATACTGCACAACAAAGAGTAAAAACTCAGTATCTGCTGTTGTTCTGAGTTAATTTTTAAATGATTATTGAAATGAAATATTTTTAGATTAGTTGAATGTTATACAGATATTTTGCCAGTTGTTATAACACTATAGAAGTGTTAGTAGCGGTCTTGATGATAATATGAAC